ACTCAACGCTGCCGCGCGCGACTTTGCGCGCGAGGCGGCGCAGCTTGAGAACGGCGGTGGGCGAGAAGCCGCCGCCGAACGTCTCGTGGAGCAGCAGGTTGAAGTTGTTGCGCTTGACAAAGATCGCGTCGTGGTAGAAACCGCGATGCGCCTTGACGTAGCCGTGGCCGGTCTTGTGGGAGAAGGGTTGGCCGGGCTGCCCGCGCGCCTTGCAGCCCATGTTCAGGCGGCGGGCCTTCTCTTCGGTGTTGCCGAAGGCGTAGGAGTGGCCAACGGAGGCGGGCGTGCCGCCACTCGAGGCGTTGCCAACGCCCGCCGAGGAGGTCTTGAGGAGGGGCGTCCAGAGCTTGACTTCATTCACCTCATCGCATCCTCCCGGGCCAGCGTGGGGTTCCGCGAGGTCGACCTTGTACCCCTCGTTGTACTGCCGGGTGAGCTCTCTGGTTTCTCCTTGTCACCGTGCACGACCGGCGCGTTGGCCGGGGCGCGCATCGCGTCCGCCCAGGCGGCGAGGACGCCGTCGTGGGGCCGCCGGTGGTGGGCCTTGTTGTAAAGGTAGTCGCCGAAGAAATCGACTGGCATGCCCCGCTCGAGCGCGACCCGAAGGGTGGGAAGCGCCACGGGGGCCACGGAGAGCCAAAGGCCGAGCTTCCGCTGGAGCTCGTCCTGGAGGGTGTCGGAGGAGAGGGCGGTGGCGTACGTGCCGTCGACACGGACATCGAGGGCCTTGCCGGCAAATGGCGTTGAGGCGGAGACGAAGCGCGCGGCTTCGCGGTTGTTGACGGCGCTGTCTCCGAGGGTGGCGAGGGACGGGTTTTGTTCTTATGTATCTCTTGACGTGACGTCGGACGGTCCGATAGCCCGGTCGAACACCCCGGGTCGCGATTTTGGCAAGTGAATACGGGCGCTTTTTGACGATGAAATAAGAATCTACTGCCCGAGGGAAACACATAGACACCCACATGGTTGACCAACCCTTACTGTGTGAGGGTCAGTGTTCACATTCACACCCCACTGGCACCGCGGCACTGTACAGTGTGCAGACCGACATACAGCACGCACAATGTAGCACTTATTAGTGAGCGCGCGCATCCCCCGCGCTCGCCCTCCACGGCCGCTGAGCGGCGCAACGCACATGCCTCCCTCGCGCGCGCTAGCGTCTCGGCGAGGTCGACCGGCGCGAGCACAACCCCAAGACGATGCCATAAGCCGGTGGCTGCGTCGCCGCTGCGCCCTCTGGGCGACGGCAACGGCGGCGACGGCGGCAGCGACCCGCGGCACTGCGGTGGTGGAGGACGGTGGTCAGGGCCGCTTTAGCCACGGCAGTGTTCTTCGACGACGTCGTCGGCGACAGCTGCTTACACGATCTCGCTGCAGATGAGGATGCACTCTTCGAC